ACATACACTCAGTGTGCCATTACATACATTCACTGTGCCATTACATACACTCACTGGGCCATTACATACACTCACTGCCATTACATACACTCACTGTGCCATTACATACACTCACTGTGCCATTACATACACTCAGTGTGCCATTACATACATTCACTGTGCCATTACATACACTCACTGTGCCATTACATACACTCAATGCCATTACATACACTCACTGGGCCATTACATACACTCAATGCCATTACATACACTCACTGTGCCATTACATACACTCAATGCCATTACATACACTCACTGTGCCATTACATACACTCAGTGTGCCATTACATACATTCACTGTGCCATTACATACACTCACTGTGCCATTACATACACTCAATGCCATTACATACACTCACTGGGCCATTACATACACTCAATGCCATTACATACACTCACTGTGCCATTACATACACTCAATGCCATTACATACACTCACTGTGCCATTACATACACTCACTGTGCCATTACATACACTCACTGTGCCATTACATACACTCAGTGTGCCATTACATACACTCAGTGTGCCATTACATACATTCACTGTGCCATTACATACACTCACTGTGCCATTACATACACTCAATGCCATTACATACACTCACTGCCATTACATACACTCACTGTGCCATTACATACACTCACTGTGCCATTACATACACTCACTGTGCCATTACATACACTCAGTGTGCCATTACATACATTCACTGTGCCATTACATACACTCACTGTGCCATTACATACACTCAATGCCATTACATACACTCACTGGGCCATTACATACACTCAATGCCATTACATACACTCACTGTGCCATTACATACACTCAATGCCATTACATACACTCACTGGGCCATTACATACACTCAATGCCATTACATACACTCACTGGGCCATTACATACACTCAGTGTGCCATTACATACACTCACTGTGCCAGTTTTTGGACACTAAATGGTAGACAAATCATGGAAAGAAAACCAGCATAGCTTACAAGAGAATATTTCTGAATAAGCAAATAAAAATAAGTTCTTCAATGAATATGTAAAATAGGGCAGTTTCTATATGTGCATGCAAGGTGATGAATGCATGGTGAATTTATGTATGATAAATTTCAATGGCAATGGCAATGTCAGGATTGAATTTAGTTTAGCTCATTGTTATTAGTCACTTCACAGTATTATTTGTATTCCATAGTTGAGATCACTGTACATCAACAGCAAATCAAATGACCTACAAGTTGAGCCAACTCATGGATATCATAATTTTATCACATCGATTAATGCATTACAAAATATCAGTTATTGTTATAATCTACCCTTTCTTTGCAACTGACTTGCAAAACAGCATTGTTCAATATGGCATGAATTTATTAAAACAAACACAAGTAAAATATGAAATAAGCATCACATCAATCATTGTATCTATATAATGTAACTATATCAGGTCTAGCTACAAATAAAAACAAAACCTGCAATTGTTGACACTTGGTGGCGCTATTACAAGTAAGGCCAATACTGGCTATATTGTTGACACACATAAAAATATAATAAGACTGATGAAACTCATTTCTTGCATAGTTTAGAGCAAATGTCTGAAAATACAAAAAAAAAAAAACTATTTATTCAACAAAAGTGGACGGATGAATAACACAGTATTTTAAAGCGGTGCAGAACTTCTGTGTCACAAAGGCAGTGAAAAACAGAATATACATTTCATATTTTTTTTTATATATCACCTTTATGTGTATGTGAAGTAAAGACAGAAACACTGTCAGTTTAAGGTCATAATTACTGAAACATTCTTCCCTTTGACATTTCATTTTTTTAACTAATCACTAATCAAGTCAGCAAATAAGAAATTAACATGACACGTCAACTACAACTTGTAGAATACAATGTAAGTCTGACAAACACTCTATTTCAAAAATTGGTGTCAATGTCAACAATTTATTTGTCCCCACAATAATAATTAAAAAAAAAAAAAAACACAGCTCATATACATTTCACACTAATGTGACCAATCAGTGACTATTTTTTAAAACTCCATAAGTCTACATTATATGCACAGATTTGTTTTCAAAATACTCCAGTGTTGGTTACCTATTTTTTACTAAATTAAAATGGGACGGAATCATTTCATATAGTTTTGTATCTTTCTTAATGCATCAACTTTTCCAAAACTCTTGTAAACTCAGCAAACAATGTGAAAGCCTGTTTGGGGCAAACACAGACACCACAGAAAATGAGAAAATTCTTACTGTAGTTGCTCTATTAGAAGCCAACAATAATTTTGCGCATAGACACACTTCTGTCATTTATGCAATGTACTACTAATAAAGCAAATACTTGTTATACAGTAAAATACTTTATTTTAGTTGGAATTAATTTTCACTAAAGACATTTTGGCTGTTTTGGCTCTTTGAAGTTTATTCTCACTGAATTTTGATGAGTTGAATGTAAAAAATATAGAAAAAAGGTATCTTCAATATTTTGTCCCTTAAATAAATTCCAAGAGAAAAATAAAGTATTTTACACCTCTATGAATGGAATAGTAGTGGACTATACCATTAATAAAGGACAGGGGTGTAGGGTTATAAAGAAGGTTATTCAGGCATACTCCTCATCAATGCAGTATGATGGGTGTCCACGATACAACCCATAGTTTCGTAGAACTTTCTCCTTTTGCTTGTGGTCTTTCATAAGTGCATTTTGAAACATATCCTTGTCTTCTTCTTGCATTCGTTTAATGATGTCATTGTGCCAAGTACGTTCTTTCATTAATCGCTCAATGGTCCTGGAGTGGATAGCAAAGGAGAATAAACTCACAAGTCTTGTACGTAACACTTTTGAGAAGAGCTTAAAGTAGATTGGTTGTCAAAATAACATAAACAAATGACAAATTAGGTTTGATGCAAGTCATGGATAGAATCATAGTTCACATTGTGTTGTTAGGTTGAAAACCAGTGTGAACACAAAAATTATGTGCAATTGAGGATGAAAAGAACAGTTTATCCTCGATAAAATCCACAATCTCGAAGTAACTTTCCCTTTGCTCTGTTGTCACGGTAAATATCTTGTAAGATAAGGTCCTTATCACTTTTGTTCATTCTATCAAGATTTTCATCATACCAGACATGTTCTCGTACCAACCGTCTCTGTTCCTTCTTCCTGAGAAAGTCAACGAAGACGGCAGGCTTAGTTTGGAGTCATAATTCTACTACCGGTATATACTACTAGATATTGTACAACTTAACATGTTAGGCAAGCTAATGTCACTACATGGATATATTTAGTAATAAATTCAGTATCCAAGTATCCAAGATTTCAAGGTAAAACCAGTTTTAATATGTTGTATAATTTACAAATCAGATGAAAATGAAGAGGTAATTCCTATTGGTTGACAACTTCTGATAATGTAACCTAATGCTTTCCTATTGGTTGAAAATTTCTGATAATATAACCTAATGCTTTCCTATTGGTTGAAAACTTCTGATAATGTAAGCTAATGCTTTCCTATCGGTTGAAAACTTCAGCTGCTGCATATCCTACAGTTTTATCTTGTAGGTTTTACTGCCATGCTGATAAAAATGGACTCCATCTATTTTTCTCCTGAGAAATAACAGATTTAAAGATTGGTCACTACACAGAAATCAGCAATAAATAAAACTACACAAACTGTTTGCATGCAAATTCAATTATGTCTGTTTATTAAATCTTTTCTCCATTTTAATTTTTCAAATTGAATCCTAGAATTACTAAATTACTATGTGCCTCTCATTTATAACATCTGCAGGTTTCTGTTGTTCACTGTGTATGTCTCACATACACCAATTAGTAAAACTGAGATACAACACAGCATGTACTGCGAATCTGTAATTTTATGTGTTCTAATGACTTACACAAGAATATTAGATACTAGTAGATAGTAAGACAAAGAGAAGAATATTTGTTCACACTACAAACATTATTGTTAGATAGATACACTAATACTGTGAGAATATTGCTTGGACTATTTTTGTTAATTGGAAACTTCCTTAATACATCACCTTCTATGGATAGGATAGACAAAATCAATGGGAAAACAGGTGATATGTTAAGGTAGGAGCTATTCATCATTATGAACAATCATGTAGCTATGGTAACAACAAATAACATTTTTGTGTTACAATATGTACTATACACGAAAACTGTTCAAAAGTTCCATGGAACACAATGTTAAAAACATTTGTTGTCACTTTTTAAAACTCAGTTTTGAATTAATTCAGGATATCAAAAACTGTAAAACATGTCTTTTTAGCTAGCATGTTATTTTAGCTAATTTAGCTAATCTGTAATTTTGCTAATTCAAGATGTCGCTAATTTAAAATAAAGTATATTCTCACAATGAGATTGTTGGCACTTTAGCTAAATGAAGATTCAGTTAATTGTAGCTATTTAAACATGTTTTACAGTAGTACAATAAATATCTATTTTTTTTACCAATCAACAATTTGGGATATACTGTAAAATGACTAATTTTCACTGGGTTTAAATTTCACTGATTTACCATTGCAGGAGTATTCAGTGGGTTTATAACTCATGGTTTTTTATCATTTAGATAATGTGTTCTATACTAAATTATACATATTCACTAGGTTTTAATTTAGCGCATTTTCCAGTCAGCGAAATAACCTAAATTAAAACCCAGTGAATAATTAACTCTTTTACAGTATATCATAATGATGAATTGCAAAAATGCTCCAATGCTGGTGACCCCACATTTTATATTAGCATGGAGTAATGTCAGCACAATAATTTATTAGAAAGCGGATAAATTGTGGGTATTTTTATTGATGAGTCGGTATTAAGTTTTACATTGACTTGAGTACTCACCGTTCCCTTTGATGTAGAGACTGTTTCATATCTCCTTTATTACGAGTACGTAAATGTTGTTCCAATTCCTTCCTTCTGGCTTCTTCCTGATTTCGGCGTTCCTGCTCCCCTCTCGCTGCCTCTTCAGCCATTCGTGCTTGCTCCAAAGCCTATGTTTAAGAACATATCTATTGATGAGACTAGGAGTACATGCAATGATAAATACTATGCACTGTGTGCAAATTCACATGCTATACTTTAAATCATCTAGCGACTTGTTACATGGGATTAATGTTTGTAAAATGGCATAATTACTATAAACACAACATCCATGGCAGGTTGAAATCAAGGAATACCTGCATGAAGCACCATATAAAAGGTTGTAAACTCATAGTAACCACTGATACTTAATAACCGAGCTTATTACGTGCAGACAGTGTGAAACTCATTCACATAGATGTTATTGCACAAAGACACCTGTCAGTGTTTGTATAAGCAGGGAATTGAGGTCAAAGAGCAAACTGGCAGTGGAGGTTCTCTAATCTTGGTTATACTGATATCATTAATGTGTGTGTTTTGAACAAAGGTAACTTTAAACAATGCTTCTTTACAGTTCAAGTGGTCAATGGATATTAATGAGCTGCTACCATGACAACCCAAAACAAATTATCAGTAGATCAGCTGTAATTTATAGTCCTAACGAACAAAACATTTCATTCGACCAAATTCATTAAAAGCAACACACATTAAAAGACTAAGACGATTTTTTTTTGGGGGGGAGAGGGGTCATGTCATATTGTGAGACAAAATAGGGGTGGGAGACATTTTGTATTGTGTGTAATTAAGAACTACATGTGTTGTATATATCATGGACATACTAGAGTAAATACTTGAAATTAAAATTAGAATAGACTTTTTTTATTTTGATTGTGTGTCTTGTATTGCTATAAAACGGAGCGGATATACGTAAACATTAAACAAAACACTATAAACAAGCAATAAATAACATTGTACATACAAATATCTAGAAACACCAACTGAAATTTTGCATTTAGAGAAATTTTTTCATGAAGGTTTAAAAATGGATAAGCTATGGCAAATAGCTAAAAATTCACCATTGTTATAGTTCTTTGACTCTTGTGTAAGAAGTAGTTTGGTGATCATATATTTTTATTTGGGTTTTTGAACAACAGCGTAAAATAAACCCATAGTGTAAAGGTCAAGGAAATCTGATCATTTGTTTTAATTGTTGGTAGCCAAATACCTTAGCCTGTTTGTGTTTTGTAATTACAAACTTTGCAATTATAATAAGACATTAATACCAGACATTAATAATGTACTCCCAAAATAATATTCGGTTTCACCACGATATAAAAGAACGTATTCCCAAAACTACAGTCCCTCTGATAAAGGCACTGTGCCAAAACGGATGCAAATACGTCAACTTAAAAAAAATATCAACTGTAATTGTATCAATAAAAAAGTAGTTGCGCGTTTGTTTGTTTTTAAGATAATATAGAATTATATAGACTTGAGTCTAGACTAGTAACGTGACTCACTGCACGAGTACAATGTCCATTATTTGTGTTGAAATGATCAAACCTTCAAGTTATTCATTTGGAGAAACTGCATAAATTTAGACAACAAGCTTTAAATTAAATAAACAAGACACTACAGACCCCAATCCATCGAGACACACGGATCCAAGTTTATTATACTATCTGATAAATCTGGTAACAACCTATTCTGTCGTGTGATGTAGTCGGCCAGGCCAGTACACGATTCAGGTGTGAATACTCACCTCCAGTTCTTTGAGCCGAGCCATCGCAGCTTGTTTACGATCTATCGTACGCTGTTTGCGTCTTGCTTCCCAGTGGTATGCGCTTTGGCTCATTTTTTCGATTAATGTGTAGATAGATTTACTATGTTATCACTGATTTCAATCTTCCCCTTGATCTTCACCAGGTTTCGCGTGTTTCGACAGCTGCGATGTGCCAGTGAACCGAGGCTTCTTGAAGCTCTATGGCAACACGGTTGGTAACGGAGTTGAATCGATACGCATGCGCAGCAAAGTAAATAGACTCAACCCGTTGTGTCGTCACCGGAAGCGCTGTCCCAGCACAACGGTGTAGAAAGGACGCCGACCTGCAGCGTCAACGAGACTCAACCAACTAAGTGCTCTACCACAATCCCTCGCGCGCATTAAATTTATATTTGCCTCAGTCTGCGCCGCTACTGTTACGCTAATCCTATATCGGACTGTAATCAGATTGCTTCAAATCTGATACCGATCTACGGACTTCCCGATATCATGGACGTATGTAGGTCCAAGCTGGAAGCAACACCGTTTGTAATCTGATTAAAATCTGATATATTGTACGGCAAAAGAAAATGTATGATAAAAATAAATAATTAAAAACATATTTAAAAAAAAAGATAAAATCTATTATAATAATATTGCAATGTTTGCAGCATAGCTGTATTGTCAGCCAATCAATGACGATATTGCTAGATATGTGACGAAAGAAATTCGCAGAAACAGTACTACTATAACATGTTTTATGTTCTCTGAACCTTACGGGCACTGAATATTTACTTCTGATTTTCATTTCTCAAGAATGAGAATGTTCGATTCAGCATTGAAATTTTCCCCATGTTTGGTGCACTGGAAGATTATTCTATTATAATCTATTGGCAATAATAACAAAAACTGGGATCACAGACCCCCTTCTTTTAGAAAAAGAGAATCGTATGTCTATTTCACCCAGGCTTTTCAAATATAAAACTGGATAAGAACAGACAAATAATAGATATCTGCTCATCTCCCACACGGCGTTTCATCCATCACCAATCTATGCAGTTAGCAATTTAACCTGAATTACCTTTTCTGTGATCGAAATTCGAACAATATTTAGTTGTAACAAAACGTCATTGTGCAATATGTCGGCTATGAAAGAAACAGCGAGAAGAAAGCTGAAGTTCCTGTCAACAGCGGCAAAGTTATGACTATGTAAACATCTGTATCCTGTGTCGTTAAAAGGTGGTGGTCGCCGTGCCGCGCATGTGCGGCATTTGTGTTGATAAACATTGGTTCTCTCACAATCCAATGCACTCTTTTGATGGAAATCGCGAGTACGAGATTTGGCTTGGACGCAACGTGCACTAAATACAAGAGGTGACTCCTTCGATACTTTCAAATCACCAAAGAAATTACATAGTTAAAGCTTAGTAACGTCTCAGTTCCTATCCCACTAAAGGCCCTAACCCAAAGTTTCTAAAATAGTTTCTGAATATTACTGTGGTTTGCTGTACGTCGGAAAAGGGCAAATTCTAAAACATTAATCGCATTTCAATCATGCCATTAAGTATTTCACATAATATACCCATAAAGCAATGCGAGTACACACGAAAAACTATGTTTGAACATAGGGGGCTATTTTCATATTTGGAATATACGGCTATGCGGTGCTGCCTTGTCCTCATTTTCGCGGTTTGACCCCACATTTTATGATTTTCGACCCTTTTAGAAAAATTTAGGTCATTTTTAAAATGAAAACAAAATTTGTTAAGCTCAAAATCGCCTTCAACTCGATCTTTTGAGTCTATCTTTTTAACTGGTTGCGGAATATTCCCACCCATAATCCAGGTGAGTACACCCGCAGCACACCCACACACGCCGGCGGAAAAACATCCTTCTCCACACGTGTGTATGAAACATGCTAGGAGCAAACGCCCTCTGTGTGGAGTGTGTGAAAACATATAATTCCTTAGGGTGAAGGGTCAATCGTTAATCTATCGAACTTCATTTTAAGGATCATCGAATCGGATCTATCGAACTTAATTTTGAGTGAACGCTGTAGAAACTCGCGAACGCTATAGCAAATTCGGTAATCTCATCATTTTTTGTGGCAATGTTATGTTATATCTCTGTATTTGAGACTGTTCACATATTAGTATATACGTAGTATGAAAATATATACACATATGCTACGGGGCATTTATGTGTCAGAAGCTGCGTTTTTACGGTTGTTTTTAGCACAGATCCCATGGAAATACACATATGACATCGTATTCAGTTAAACGTGTTTCGCTTTTCATAAGTTTTGTGAAATACTGTTCTTAAAACAGACACGCACAATAGTAGTTAAGGTCGTATTATAGGTACGACCATGAGGGCGCTGTTCATACTCGGATGCGATGACGTCATACGGGGAGGGATGACGTCACAATGGGAGGCCGTGCATAGCTTAGCATAAATAATGACGTCACAATGGGAATTCGTGCATAAATTAGCATAAATGAGCGTCCATGGCCGTAAAGGGGATAATTTGAATGAGGATGACGTCACAATGGGATATTTTAATACATTTGCATAAATTACCATCAATTTTTTTAATTATTTTTTTTAATTATTTTTAATTATTTTTTAATTATTTTTTAATTGGACAGGCGTGGACGAAAGATTTTTCATGA